CTCTCTCTCTCTCTCTCTCTCTCTCTCTCTCTCTCTCTCTCTCTCTCTCTCTCTCTCTCTCTCTCACATGCATCCCGCTGTTGGAGAGGGATTCTGAAATCTGGCAGCCGAGTCGGGATTGCAGCGGCGGAAAGGGGATTGCAGCAGCGAAGTGCCGATGGCAACGTGAAACAACTAAGTTGGATGGCGACAGTGGAAATCAGATAGCGGACGGCAGATGGTGGTGCTGTGGAGGCAAGGGTGGCCAGCCGTCTCTCTCTCTCTCTCTCTCTCTCTCTCTCTCTCTCTCTCTCTCTCCACACGCACACACACACTACAAAGCTACATTGCATGGGCATCTCCTACTATAGCTATGGCTAGTCTCACTCTCACACAGTCTTTCCCCAGACTACCTTCCACCAGTGATAGCATGAAGCTGTGCACCAGTCCCGCAAGCACGAGGCAGAATGACCGAAATGAGGCAGGCTGGTCTTTTGTACTGTTGAATCCAGTGTGTCTGCATTCAGTTGCCTCCCCGTACGGCTTAGGTTGTTGGACCTGTGCAGCCAAGGTTAGGTTGTTGGCAGTGTGTGCCTGGACATGGTTTCCAGAACACAGATTCTGAGCCATTGAATGTGTGTCATCTGTGGCCGTGGTTGTTTCACTCTTGCACTGCTGTGCCCAATAGGGCATGACTGCTGACATTCTGAGGGCCTAGACTTTCTACGACCTATCTAGAGGCCTACAGCTGATTTTTTTCTAGGAATGGTTCGTGCATATTACATACGTGCTTTGTTTCTCGCTATGTAGTTGGATTTGCTTTTCCTCTAGAAATGGTTCCCACATATTACATACATGCCAGCCACTGTCCCAGTCACACACACAGCACAGCAAAAGACTCAGCTGGCGACTTCCCACTCCTGTTGAACGCACAATATTGTAGATAAAACTTTTCCTCAAAGAATCCCTCCAATCATTAATGGTTGAAAAAAAACAAAGAAAGATCTTCTAACAGCTTGGCTAAGATCACATATGCTCTTTTAACATCTTTTTCAAAAGAGAGAGAATTTCTTCAAGAGGTCCAGTGACTCTAGTCTGCCAAGTACCCGTCGCATTGTTTTGCAACGTTCTACTGCCCGGGTAGCGGGTGAAATGATTGCCACGTCCTTTTTCCTTTCAAAGATATTGAGCTGACCAGGGCAGATACTACACGTGATCTATTTTTAGCCAAAAGGCAGAAAAGGCATCCCCCACAATTTCCCGCATGTCCAAGGCAGAAAAAAAGGCATTCCCTGCATTTTCCCACATGTCCAAAGACTGCACACTCTCATTTATTTTGTGTTCCGTTACTAGATTGAATGAACTCCTTGTCTTCAATGAACTGAAGTGCAGATTATCCAGAATATGTGATTCTCCTGGCACTGACATGGAAACATGTAATAACATCAATGATCATTCCCATTTTCCCCCCGGATTAGCTAAATGTGTGTCACCTCTGTATCTCGTACACGTTCACCAGTCAATACTCCCCGTGCTGGATTTTCACAGCCTAGAAAACTCCTGGGGTTCCTTCTGAGCCCCAAGACACTTGCAGTTGCCTTATGACTGGCACAGCTTGATAGGGCCAAGTTATGCGATGACAGCACACCGAAGGACAGGAGCAGCCTAATTGTTGATGCATGCTTACTTCATTCCCACACGCTGATGTCACACTGACCTTCGCCAAGTCCACATAGGAGAGCGCTTTCCAGCACCAAAGATTTCTAGGATTTGGCATTCATGTCCGTATTCATGTTGTATTCATGTCTGTATTCATTTCTGTTTTCTTGTGCATTTGTCGCTTCTTTCAGAAGATATGCTCTGGCTTGCAAGAGGTGGAGCAGTGGACCAAGGGTTATGGTTGGTACAAGCTAGGAATGATCACACTTCCTTCCGGTGTTGCCAAATCCTACCCTACCTGGTCAAGAAGGAGTGACTTGATTGAAACACCTCTCTTTGAAACCAGCGCTGCAAACTCGTTGGGCGGCGGAAGTTCAGAAAATGCATCAACTCCCAATTCGCTTACTGGGGGGGTAGCAAGAGGCTGCACTGACAAACATCAAATGGAACAATTACCAAAAAAGCACCCAAAAGAATCCAAAACTTGTGTCTTTCGGAACATCCATTCAAATTGGCATGATAAAGTGAAGACTCCCATGGCCCCTGCATATTCAAGAGTGACAGTGTGACACACACAAATCAACGAATGGTCCAAATAGCAAAAACCAAAGAGAGCAAGGAAAAAGAATCCCAAACTTCAACTAAGAAACTACAAGCCAAGGACACAGATGTTGGGCTGGAAGAACAAACGGGCAAGTCTCCACCACGGAAAAAAGCCAATGGAATGTAAAAGAACGCCAACCCTATATGACCTAAAACCCTAAACCCCTGACGCACTTCAGTAAGTTTTTTCTAGAATTGATATATATCCAAACACCGTACAAGAGCTCTTCTCTTCCCCTCGTCCCGCAAAAGAACTTCAACTGAGAGCTACAAGCTAAAGAGACAGATGTTGGGCTGGATGAACAAATGGGCAAGTCTGCGCCGTGGAAACACTGGAAAGCCAATGGAATGTCAAAAGAACAAGATTCTACATGAGGTAAAGCCCTAGACCCTAAACCCTAAACCCTAATGCAGTTCAGCATTCCCTTCCCAGAATTTATACATCAAAAATACTGTACCGGAACATAAGCACCTTTCTATCCCCCTCCCCTTCCCTCCCCACCCTGCACCTCGTCCCCGAACACACACACACACAAAAAGTCCAAAAAAAAAAACACATAGCCTTAAGGGTGTGATAGCAAAGGCTACGTTTGCTTCCCATTCTGGAGACCATTCATTCAGTTGAATCAGTTCCCTTTCCACCAGCATTATCATATTGGAAACCTTTAAATGCCTGGATAACAAATCATGGTTGTGATAGCAAAGGCTACGTTAGCAGGCTTTGGCTATGCCAATGTCCTCACTTTCAGGGTGACCCTGGCTATGTCTTTTTCCTTACTCACAGGCCTATAGCCAAGGCTATGTATACAAGCCCTGGCTACCTATACCACCCCTGGCTACGGGTATGACTCTTCCACTTGGCTATCCATACAACCCGGCTATGCCTCTTTCCCTACTTGCAGGGTTATGGCCAAGGCTCTGGAGTCTGTACACAACCCCTGCCTCTGGCCACAACCCCTCGCTACTTTATGGGTATGGCTCTTCCCCATTGGCAATGTATACAACCCCTGGGGCTGGATGTTTCCCTACTGGCAGGATTATAGCCAAGGGTATATATACAATCCCTCGCTACGGCTCTTTCCTCACACGCAAGGTGATAGCCAAGGCTCTGTTCACAACCTCTGGCCATGGCTACTTCGCGGCTTGCAGGGTTTTTACCAAGGCTAAGCTCACAACCCTTGGCAATGGCTCTTTCTGCACTCGCAGGCATGAATATACAGTAAGCCAAGGTTTCTGATGTTTAAGCACCAACGCCTGACTCCCTTTTCCCCATGCAAGCACGAACTAGCATATATACAGATGTTAAAGTGGTCAAAAAAGGCCTTCACAACATGCCGCGCCCTCCAAGTCCGAGACGAAGAACTTCGCAATTGGAAAAAACGGGCGGCAGGGTGGCCATGAGGGGCAGAACCATGGCAGACCACCTCATGTCACTCACATGAACAACTTAAAGATCAAAGGCACACGTAGAGAGAGGCACTGTCAAGTGGGCAAGGGGTATAAGTTGCTGCATTAAGAGAGCCAAATGTCAAACACGAGGGTCAAAAAAAAAGAAGAGAACAACCACCGAAAAGAGACGTCTTTGCTCAGTGCATACATGGCCAGGCCTGGGGCTTTCTAAGTCGAAATGTCCCCCATAAGTGTGGCAAGTTCAAGCCCTTAGAAATAGAACAAGGGGTAGTTCCTACTACATGGGAATGAACTTGAAAAGCCAGTTGAAAGTCAGTACACACAAAAAGTAATCCATTTGCCGCTCAAGGAGGCGTCGCATCAGATCCACAGCATTGACTGTATTTGTAGAAGAACCATGTGGCCCAGGCACATCAATGGGCAAAACAGATCCAATACAATGTATAGCACCTTTTCTGTTGATCCTCTTCCTGGCATCACAGCAAAGCATGCTGGCAATTGCAATTCTTTAATGGAATAGCAGCCTCTAAGAACTGCGACAAAACTTTGGGGCGGGAATTGGGAAACAAAATAGAAATTTGGAAATTTTCGGGAAATGTTGGAAAAGAGATTTAAGAGAGTTTTGGAAATTTTGGGGAAAAAATGAAAAAAAAAAACCTTTAAAACTGACAATAAAGAAAAATTGATTTGCGGGGAGGGCTCCGTGAGCTATCAGCAGCCATTGCATACTATGCACTTTTACAGGTTTGCTTCTAATGTACTCCTTCCACGGGATTTCGTGGGTGGAGGTGGAGTCCAATCGTAATAATTTTCACCATCTTTTCTGTATTGTTGGGGGCAGGTCCTTGGTTCTTAAACCACCAGTACACCCGGGCCTGCTGGCGCTTTACTGCGCACCAAGCTTTTCCAAACCACCAGCAGCGCACTTTTCTTCTTTTTTGGCTGGCGCCGCCAGCCATTGTGGTCCGGTAGGCCGAGCCTCCAATTTATTTATTTAATTATTTTATTTTATTTTTTTTGGGGGGGGGAGTCCAACAGTCCGGTCAAACATGTTTTTAGTAAATTTTTACGAGTTTCTTTTTCAGCGAGGCCGGGGCCGTGTACTGGCGGTTTAAGACTAGATTGTATCCAAATTTGACCAAGTAATCTACTATGCGAATTGGGGGCTTGACTCTTCTCGGTGCCACTGCCATTCCTTGGAGTCATATTCCAGATCTCTAATTGCCTTGAAAGGCTGCCAGATCCTCCAAACTTTGGTTTTGATAACCTGGATTGTCCTCGAGGTAAAGGCCTCCAGCGTACAGGTTTCTATGGTTTTTCCCGCTTTCCCAATCCAGAGAATTATCCAGACAGATTGGGTAAGACACCAAAACCAAACCAGTAAAAGTCCGTAGTATACTAGTATGCAATGGCCGATAGCTTATGCAGCCCTCCCTGTAAATCAATGTTTCCATGAACAGAGAAAGGATGCAAACCCTAACAGCCCCCCCCTTGCAAAATGTGTCCATGCAAAAGTGCCGACGACATTGTTCACTGCCTAATATAGTGGCCAGCCGCCGCCGCCTGGGTCTGGTCCGGAGTAACAAAGTTTGGCTCTCACTTTTCACAATTTCGCCCCCCTCCCCCCTCCCCCTGACCTGTCAACCACCCTTATGGTCACCCCCCTTCCCACCCATCTAAAAGGTCCAGCACACTTCTCATCGTACCTAATGCTAAGGACGGTGGCTCTGTGGACAATCTGGAAACGAAGATGCCTTCTGACTCTGGGGGGCGAAGAAACAGACAACGAAGATGTGGTACTCCCTCGTCCAGATAATCGAAACAGAGATCAGATGCAGATCGCAGCAGACCAAGATGTCTGGCCCTCCCGGGACGATAAAGGGGAACTTCAGCACGCAAATGTTCTTCGAGAGTGGCTACTGAATGGGATGATAGCGATCATTCATGAGGGACCCTAAGTGAGAAAGCAGCCGCCCACTTTCAACAAGCATCAGTGACGAGGGGCAAGGGGAACCGCTTGTTTTCAGTGCAAAACAGTGGAGCTGCAGTAAATATGGGCAAGCTGACAGTCAATCCTCCGACTTAGGAGCAATCAATTCTCCTCAGGGGTACTTCGGCCAAACGGAAGGAAGCGTTGTGTGTCGATCACTTTGACATGCTGGGGGAACAGGAACCGGACTGATGCCCCCCGAAATCGAAAGGAGCCAGCACTATATGGTACTGTTCTTAAAGAAATCATTAGACAAGTAAAGAAAAAAAAAAAGCTTCCGGTTCGGTCACACGCTAGAGACAGCTCTCAATATCTCTCTCTTGAAGAAATACAGCAGGAAAGAAGCCAGCAATATACCTTAAAAAAAAAAAAAAATTGGACCATATGCAAGGCCACTGCCTCTATGAGCCCTTTCGGCCCCTCCCTTACAGCCCGTTGGGCGCCTAAGTGAAGGCAGGCCCGACGAGGCCCTCAGGGCCCTATTTCGGCCACTGCGCAACTAAGGAAATTCAGGCAGTTGCGCAGCGCCAGTTGGCTGAGAGAACCCAGGCCCTGGGCCGCCTGTGTGAATGTATGGAAAGCAGGCCCTGGGCTGGATACGGGTACTGGGCCAAACACAGGCCAAGGCAGTTGGGTACATGCAACCACCTCAGGCCCAAGGCCTGTTTTCGTGCGTGCTGGGCCTCAGGCTACCAGGGCCTACTGGAAGCTTCTGTGACTGAACGCAGGCAGGCCACTACGATATAGCAAAGTGCCTACCTCCAGATTCGGGATTCGGGTGCTGGCTGCATGCTGCGCAAGCGCTGCTGCGCCAATTGCTGGCTGGCGCCTAAGCGCTCACGGGCCAGCAGGGAAGGAGAAGGCAGCCATAGCCGAGCTGCGCTGCTGTAAGCTGGGGGTGTGGCGCAGGGTGGTCCTTGGGTGCAAGTGGCATCTGTGTGTTGGGGAACGAGGTTGTGAGTAAGGCGAGAGACATACCTGGTGCTGGAAGCGTGCGACATTGGTCGCTGTATGCTCGTACTTCGGGAGAGCTGTTGTCGTCAACTTCGGCATTGTAGTATAGGCTAGATAGGATCTGCCACATGTAGTCTGGGCGCCGAGCGCCAGATAGGATATCAACTCTGGTTCTTCGTTGATGATGATGATGGGACTATTTCAGCATTGTCAATTATGAACTCTTGGTGTGTTCTTATTTGGTGAATCTCGTGATGCAATTCTGCTGTTGGTTCGAGGTCACGACTATCTGGACTCATATGTATGATGCTGTTTCATTGCTGAAGTTCGCTATTGCTCATCTTCCTTGCACATATCTCAATTTATGCGAGTCATCCTTGCGCAGGGGCCAGGCTAATCTTCTCTGTATCGTTCCAATTTTATACCTTTCTCGGCCTTTTGGCAAAAAATAGATAAAGTGTAGTATTGTCCTTATCAGTTTAATATCTGATCCGTGGTCCATCGGGCCACATGATATTAAGAAGGAAAAAAAACTCAGGAAAGAATTGCAGGATGAACACTCACATCGTCAACCAGACGTATGCGTGCAAACCGCCGAGAATCAGTAAATGCCAGCTGCACGCCATCATTAAACTGAGCAACAAACACAGACAGAAACAAGTGACTCGTCAAGGATCTTTTTCTCCAGAACATCTTTTCAGAACTGCACTTCTGTATCGTAGCTTTGTACAAACAAGTGCAACAGTGAAATTTTTGGATGCCATCCATGACTGTGCAGGGGTCCTGCTACTCTTCTCCGTAGTGTTGCAATTTTCACAAATTTCGCCCAAAGGACGACTGAATGCAATTTGCTAATTTACTGTGGATCAGCAATTTGAAAAACTTACGACCCGGTCATCATTCCACAATGAGTTCAACGGCCATGTTTTTTTTTTCAGATATACAAAATTACAAATCTTTAGACTCCTAGAGTAGATCAGGACAGATACACACTTAAACCACCAGTACGTTTCCCGGCCATTTTTCTCTGACAAGGCAGGCGTGCATGCCGTCGCAAGTTTCGGGTCAGCCCACTGGAGTGAAATGGCTGGTGCTGCCAGCCGACAGAAGGCCCGCCGCACTGGTTCATTTTTCTTGGACGCGCAGGGCATTTCCAGGCCCCCGAGGGAACGCTCAAAAAAGTACTGGCGGTTTGACTGGACTGCTCCGTAATCATGGTTGTTAGAGGAAAAGACAAGTTTTTCAACTTCCAACTGTGGGTAAAAGTTCACCGGCAAGAACGAGCTGTGGAATCTGGAAGCTTGATTGCAGTTCCTATATATTGTCACATAAGTGACATAACTAAGAACTAAAAGAGCGCACTTTGCGAAACAAACGGTAAAGATGCAAAAAAAAATAAAAACAAGACAAACTTGAGGGGCACACTGAAACCATTCATTTTTTTCATTCTTCTCGTAACTCCCCTTTCACCCCGTGCGTCTGACGTGCAAGGCTCGCCACGTCGATGAAGTTGAGCGTGAGCTGCCCGCATCGCCGTGTGCCATAACGGCCCACTTGTACGCTGTGAGAAAGAGGCAGAGTAAAGGGGGAGAGAATAAACACAGGGAAGAGAGATGGAGAGAGAAGACAAACAAAGAACGGCAAAGGGAATGTAAGGGAAAGTACGGAGTGTGGAATGAAGATGAAGGCAAAGGAGAGGATAAGCAAAGGCTCAAGAATGAGTCTGTACTTGACGACAGAGAGGACACACATTGTAAGGATCAGGTGGATGAGCACATGAACAGAAAGAAATTTGGAAGGCCATCTACAGTTTGCAAACAGCCTCCAGCTCTGACGTGCCAAAGGGATGTTAAACGCACCACATCTGGCTGAATGGTACACAAAGACGACTGTTCATAAACAACAGATCATGAGTTCGAATCCTGACCTAATCAGGTGGCTTCAAGAACCGTAGGAGCTACCGCTTAAATAAACAAGAAAGCTGTCAGACAAAAGAAGAAAGAAAAACGCCATCCAGAGGCTGCTGGACTTGCCGTTTTCACAGTCGAAAAGTGGCTTCAGCACTTCTTTGGGAAAAAGGTTCAGAAAGAGCTGGACTGGCAGTAGTGATTTAGCAATCAGCGTGCAGAGATGAAACGTGGTCAGTCTTCCCTGAAAGAGATACTGCTCCATCCTTTGAGGACTCTCATCAAGACTCCTCTTCCTCTTCCTCCCCCTGCTCCTGCCCCTCTTCTTGTTGCCGCCTCCCCTCCCCTCACCCTTCCTTCATTGCTGCTGCTGCTGGTCCTCCTGCTCCTGCCTTTCCTCTGACATCATTGCCCTCTTTCCAAACACGCCCACCGTCCTCCTCCCCTCCCTACTCTTCCTCCTGTTCCTGTTCTTCTCCCTCTTTCTGCTCCCACTACACCTCCCCCCCCCCTTCCTTAACTGCTGCTGCTGCTGCTATTTCTCGCCTTGCTCCTCCCTTTCCTCTTTCAAACATGCCAAGCTTCTCTACTCTCCTCCAGCCTGCTTTCCCAGAAAATGTTTGGCAACTTGACAGTGCTGACACTATTTCGATCAACGTAGCTGGTCGGTAGTGATATGAATCTATTGCCAATCCAGCCTCAGCTTTGATCCTCATGACAGCTTCCGAACTCTACTAGTGACAGCTTTTCTTTTACTCCGAGAACAGTAACAAGTCACTACTTGCTTTAGTGAAAAGGAGGCAGCAATCACCATAGATTATCTCATGAAACACCATACTACTTCCTTCAATGACAAACTGCAGTGAAGGTATCAAACGGATTCAGGTGGAAACTAACGCCACGATTCGTTAACGACCAATAAGCATCGACTAATTCCTTAATTACTTTCAGATCTCGTTTCCGCGGATGTGTGGCACAGACAGTTGTGATGAGATCTACATTTACATTCTGTTACGATCCTGGCCTGTTTCGAAGTATACATTCATGAGAAAGCACAATGCCGTCCAATTGAGAAAAAGAAATGAATGAACTTGAGAGGAGAGAGAGAGGGAAAGAGGAGGAAGAAGAAGATGATGATGAAAGAAAGCAGAAGAAGAACATGTACACCAGCAAAGACCAATGATAATCCCCTTCTCCTTTGCCAACTACTCTCCTCCTCCTTTTGTCCGCTCCTTATATTCAAACAACAAATAATAATAATAATGTTGAATGGCTGAACCAGAATCAATGTCCGAATCCCTCTTCTACTGCAGGCACAACATGAGGTCCACCACAGCCATGGCCACCCTTCTTCTTCCTCTTCATGTAGGCCAAGGCGATGGCTGACTACTATGGCCTCACCCTGCTGTGCAAAGGGCAACACAAAGCAGCTATGCTTGCTGCTGTCCAGGCCGCCATGCCTGACCCCGCCTTGAAGCCTTCTTGGTGCGCGCAACCCCAACTGGGGCCTTCCAGATGCAGCGCCTAACAAGGTGATGAAGATGGTGCCCACCATAGCCAGGTAGGTACTTCGCCACTCTCCTCATCAGTCATCTTCTTCCTCCTCCTCCTACCGGTAGAGCTTCACCATAGCCGAGGTGGGACCTCCCGGTCTCCTTCCTCTTAGCAGCGCTGAAATGCCCAGCGCTCCTCCAGCCAACGTGCCAAGCAGTTTGTTGCCAAACTTGCACACCGAAGAACGAGGAGCACTTTGCTCCTCCTGGAGATATAGCGGCCTACTTGCCTCTTGGGTGGTGACTTCCTAGGTCGCTCAGCCTCCAAACAACCGGTACCTCCTCCCTTGCGGAGGGAAACATCATTGCAGACTCTGATATTGCCCGTACAGGCCCTAGACTCAAGACTGGTTGGACTGGTACCCCCCTAGACCTAGCCTATAACTACTGGGCCTCTAAAAATGCAACCTTTTGTCTTCTTCTGCTCGGCCTCGAGTACCCGGCACATCTACTTCTACTTGGTGTGGTACCAGCCTACCTGCTGCTTGAGTGTTTTTCCGCTGCCCTGAGTGTCGTGGGCCTCGTGCCCTGCCACTTGAGTGTTTTCCCCCCGCTCCAACCCTCAATGTCACGGCCACAGGTAAGTACCAGCCCTACGGGCCTCCAAACAAGCTAGTACCCTTGCAGGTCACACACAGACTCATGCGACCAGCACTCAGCCAGGCACGCAGACCATCAAGCACGCACACACACACAGACTTAGGAAAACTCAGCAGAATGAGGGAATCTCAGCAAGGCATCCATTCCAGCGGCAGAACTCAGAAATCAGCAGCGTTCTCAGTCTGTGTTTTGGCAGGTCATTACAATTTAGGGCTCTGAATGTTTTCTTTTGTTCAGTTTCTCTGATGAGCCTTTTCCCTCTCCAAACAAGCCCAGTGATGCCAAGAGGCCCAAAACTTTGACGAGGTCAGTTATCGCATGGTACCTTAAGAATAAGCTTGTAGAATTTGGGTGGCCATTCCTCATCCTGCTTGAAAATTGACCTGCATTTTCCCCCATTAGGGAAGTCAGCTAAAGATTACACCAGCTCGATGGCTCACATTCCTTTTCCAAAATTGACTGTGCCATCTGTTTAAGATAGAAAGAAAACACAGAGAGAGAAGAGAGAGCGAGAGTAAGCGAGCAAGCGGATGAGGGAAAGGGAGTTTCGGTTCTCAGCTCGGCCAGAACACACACACACACAGAGAGAGAGAGAGAGAGAGAGAGAGAGAGAGAGAGAGAGAGAGAGAGAGAGAGAGAGAGAGAGAGAGAG